GGGAGTCCCTGCATTTGAATCGGTTATTTGGCTTTCTTGGTGGCATTTCAGGCTCATTCCTAGCAGAGTGGCCCATGAGCCAATACTTTGCTAGTCCAATTAGAACTGTTCATTCATAGCCCAATTTTAGCCCATCCTTGCTCCAAGGACTGTATGCACAGCGTGTCTTGGCTGTACTGTCATGACAATCCAGTGAAGTAAGTTAGACAAAGAGATAAAGACTGGAACAAGGTCGCGCGACTGGATTTGTAACTGAAGGGGTTTTGAAATGGTTCCAAGTCCGACAGTCTAACCACTTCACCATCCTGATTCTCGGTTAGTAAAATAATCTTCTGAAAGATTACCAATGCTGCAGTTTGAAAGTCACATTTCATCTCCACCATCAGACTGTGCTTAAGGAAGATTCGATTCTGTCAAGCTTTGCTCAGAACCTCCCAGATTTTCCACAGGCCTTTTCCTTGAACCTCTCATATTTCTTCCGTCTCCACCTGGGACCCAGCATGGCCCCACCTTCCCAGGGCTGCCTCCTGACCTCACCTGAGGATTCTTGAAAACAACACCGGGCAACCCAAACTCCATGGAACCACTCTGGCCTGCATACAAGTTCTGGTCGCAGTCACATTCCTGCACTCTCTGTATACCCACACGATTCCCTAGATTCACACTGACATGACCAGGAACAAAACTGTCCCTTTTATCCATCAGAGATATTCATGACCCACCCTGGGCTGTCTATCCTAATTCTGTTTATACTTCCATAAAGAAAATTGGCAGTGAAATAATGTTAATAGGTTTTTAAAGCTCTGAAATGAATTCCCTACTCCATGTTTGGAACAAAGGCTTTGCAAAAAGGGAAGAGTGTGTGTGTCTGTGTGTGTGTGTGTGTTGAAGGGGTGTCACAAATTCTGGATTTGCCTGGCTCCAGGTGAAAACTGCTGTGCCGGACTGGGGTGGGGGACTTCATAGCACAGGGTTAAATATTGATCCTGTGCTTTTCCAATTACTACCAGCTTTCCTTTGCCAGGCAGGCAACTGTTATATCTGACTACTCATGCAACTGAGTGGTAATTAGCAGCATTTTCTTTGGAGAAAAATTAAAAATGACCCAATGACATAGTTATGGAAGGTACACAATTTTCTTCAGGGAAGAACCGCAGTGGGCTTAGAAGTGCCATTTACAAAATCAATCATGTTTCTTTCTCATTTATGTATTTGTGTGAGTGTTTCCTTCTCCCCCTCCCAATTTTCAACAATTGCTCTGAATAAATATGATTCCTGAATCATTTAGCAATCATTTAATGGAGAGCAGGCTCTACTTCTAAGCAATTAGAAGCATGATCAGAAATCACCCCGCTGCTGAGCTAAGGAAGGAGAAGCTAGTTACAGTTCTGCTCTTCCCAGGAAGGGAGGATGGTGCTGCACAGGGGGAAATTGCCGTATAATTAAGCTTTCTGAGCTTCCATGGAAATATTTATGAAATGAGGCTATCTTTGGAATAAATCATTGGTCTGTTTTATCATTCAGAGAGGACGTTTGCTTCGGCATAATATACACAGAGCTTTGATCACTGCTCCTATGCTGTTGACGGCAGTCAGTGGAGCTTGCAGAAAGCAAAATCATAAACGTGTATTTTCTGTTTCTGCCTTTCTTCCTTTCTTATCTGTGCTCAGTGGCAGGAAGGACAACTGACAGCTTTCTTTTTGAGGCAGAAAAGTCATTGCTTGGTGATCCTTCCACCTTATTTGCACTGGCTTCCCGTTCAGCACTTGGATGAATGGTTTTGATGTCTTGTTTCAAGTATCCTCTTATAAGATGCAAAATGACCTTCTCGTGTGGCTTTCGGATGCAGTTGGGCAAGAGAAGGAGGCACTTGTTGAATGGCTTATAATGGCTGGCAGTGACTAGGCATGGGATGTTTTGACCCATTGTCCACCAGCTAAGAAAGACAAATAGTTTGGCAGATTCTGAGTGCAGCCAACAACCTGCCAAACTCAGAAGATGTTTTGGAGTTAGACAGGAAGAAGTGACTTCAGGGACTTTGATGACACACTGCTTCTTTGTGGGAAAATACATAATGACATTGATTGTATGGACACATCTCAGATCATATTAATCAGAGATTGCAAAAACACCTTCAGAAAAATGCTGCTACTAGAATTGCTGTTGAGCAGAAAACCTACACCTCAGATGGGCCCCACAGATTAATTTAGGCTCCAGCAGTTCCATACGATATACCATCTTATTGGCAGAAAGTAGCAATGACTTGAAACAATTCCTGATTAAATGTAAGTGCAAAAGCAGGACTTCAGCTGAACATTAAGAAAGCAAAAATCACGAGAATAGAAGAATTACTGATCTTTACTGTCAAGAATGAAGAAATCAGAATTGTGAAACATTGTGTGGCCTCTGGCTCAGTCATCAATTCAAAGGAAGATTGTAGCCAAGTAATCAGAAGAAGGCTGAGTCTTGGAAGGGCAGCAATGAAGGAACTAGAAAATATAATCCAATGTAAGGATATTTTACTGGACACCGAGGCCAAACTCATCCACACTATTATATTCCCAATCTTTATATATAGGTGTGAAAGCTGGACAGTGAAGAAAGCTGACAGGAAGAAAGTAAATGAATTTGAGGCATGGTGCTGGAGGAGAGCTTTGCAAATTCCCTGACCGGCAGACAGATGACCAAGTGGGTCATAGATCAAATCAAGCCAGAGCCTTCCCTAGAAGCAAAAATGACCAAACTAAGGT